AGGAAGGAAGGAAGGAAGGATCACACTCAGCATGCTCACACCTTTGGTTGTGTCTAATATAGCCCTTTGGAAGGTTTCCTGATTTCACAATGATATACATTTTCTCCAGTTTTCATCTGAAGCCTTCTAGATGCCTTTGTTGATATAAGAACCCAACTCTTGCATTTAAATCAAGAAACCAACTTTTACCGCTCAGAAAAATCTTATCAATGACAAGGCATAGAGACTGTTCCATCTTCTCTCTGTGAGGGAAAGTGAAGGCTACAGACTTCAAGTTATTGTGAAAAAGTGGAAGTAAACAACTACAGTTAAAAATACTATGAGATTGTCAGTACAATCCTAAACAAAGCTATGCCATTATCAAAGTCAGTGGGCTTAGAAATATGTAACTCTGTTTAGGACTGCAAGTGTTCCAAGGAATACTGCATTCAGAATTATTCTGTGAGTCAGGTTAATCTGAGAAGTCACACTCATGGCTGGGGACCTGTTTGAAACCAGATCTTCCCAGTGAAGGAACACAAATATGGTTGCTTCTTCTGGGGAAACCAAGTTTAACAGAGGATGATTCAGGACGGAAAATGATGGTATGTGTGTATGTGGTTTTGTGTAAAATGGTATGCATTCTTCTGGAACACTGAAAAGGGTAAAGCAATGGGTGGAGGATAAGCTTCTTCTTATCCTTCCCATTTCGGAACTGCAGATCAATGCCTGCTTTTCCCTATAGGAAGTTGCCAATGGGTTGGATCCATGCAAGGCACTTCTGTCAGTGGACCAAACATTCCTGCCTACCTCCCACCTCTGCAGCCTGCTCATCTCCTCCCATGTTGCTCCTGGGAAGTAAGAGACCCCCAGGAACAGCATGAGAGGCAAACAGGAGGTCTGAAGCAGGAAGGGGGAATTAATAGGAATTACCATATCCCTTCCATTAATGAAAATTGTAGTCTGGATCTAGCCCAATGGGTTAATACATCTGTTTATTAATCACATTTTTAGTCCATCTGTACTTCAAGGAGCTCAGAGCAACATATATAGGCTGTTGAGATCAGCGAGCTCAATAGAACTTCATGGCTGGGCAACGAACTGAACTGAGGTCCTGCTGGTCAGTCCAGCACTCCTGCCACTCTATCATATGCTGACTCTTGTACAGTTGCAAGTTATACCTAACCTGACCCTTTCGCCAACACTCTTAACTACAATGCCATGCTAGAATCTATCTCTCAGGCCAATATTAGTAGACCAGACGAAATATAAAAAGGATCACCGTTCCTTCTGCTTCAGATGTGAAAAGAGGTTCCAATGCTTCTTCTTTCTAATTTTCTTCAGTTTTTTTTTTTAAATCCTGACATTACTTTCTAACCACACGTATTTTAAGCAATGTGCTCTAACATGTACTTCAGTTGCCGGTTATGGATGGCCAAACATGCATCTTTTCCCATGCCCAGATATCTTGGGGGTCAGGGGTGGGGTGAACTCTGGCAATCAATTGGGTGCATTAGTGATTAAATGTGTGCATAGCCTTTCTTAATTAATGACAGTCATGTGTGTATGCATTTTCAATACATGATGGGGAAAGAGGCTGGGATTACGTCTAATGGTGGTATTATATTTGCTGTCTCATTCCTTTGGATGCTTGTTGCTAGCCCTGTGTGAACATTATTTTTTTCATGGTTGATATGGTGCCAGGATTGCACACCAACTGGCACTGCTTTCTTGCTGTGCTTCTTTCCCATGCCTTCAAGGTCTCATTTACACAAGGACGTATTTGTGTTTACCCCAAAGGTCAAAGGCTCTGTACACATGATGTGTAAACCTGCAGAGCCTAAAAAATTGGGGGTGAACACATGTAGATATGATTTTGAAAATATTAAGATCATGTACAGCAAAGAACAAGGCTAGTGGTACAATTATGACCCTCCTCCCTTACGTAGAAATTCTCTGAAGGGATAGAGATAAGCACCTTAGAGTTGTGTGAGTAAATATGACATTAGAAGTCTTCCACCAGAGAAAGGTAGCAAACTGGCAGATTTACACCTCTTTACTTCAAGCCATGAAAGTGCAGGGACAAAGCTGTATAGCGAAAAACATGGAGTCTTGTGAGCAAAAATGCTACTTTGTGAGCTACTGGCATTAAAGTTGTGAGTGAGCAATTTGGCTACTGCATAAATTAGTTTGCTTTGCAGCCATCTTTTCTGTGCTAAGACAAAAATGTGTGAGCCGGAAGCTAAAAGACTGTGACCTAGCTCACGCTAACTCAGCTTAGAGGGAACACTGCTCAGAAGTAAGTCATGCTGTATTCAGTGTGGCTTACTCCCTGATAAGTGTACATAGGATGGCACTGTGAGTATGCTGGGATTTATGTGCCAAGTTCTTCTTTCCTCTCACTCTCATCCACTCCACCCTAATATACAGTCTTACAAGGATACAAAATGAAACAATGCTGTCCATTAATGTTAAGAAGCAGAGCTCATTTTTGCCAGAAGAGGGAGCCAAGCCCACACAGAAGCCTGAGTGGCTGGAAGTTAGTGAACAATGAATTGAAAAGAAAGTGGTTGTGTGTGTGAGTGTGTGTGTGTGTGGGGGGGGGGGAAGGGAAACCAGAAATAAACCAGCAGCAAAAGATGAGGTGAGTGTTGTTCTTTCAGCTGGTTGCCTGTAACATCAGCATCCCGCAACAGCTGTATTGTGGGACAAATGACTTCTCTGTGTTGGTAAGTTCATGCCAGAGGGCAGAGACAAAGCTCAAACCTTAGTGTCAGTTCAAATTATGTGCATTTTATTTGTGGGAGTTGGGGTTCATGGCTAGATGCAGGAGTTCCATTCCACTGATTTCTGTGTATTTCTGTAGCTTTGTTATAACAAATTGCAGTTTAGGAGATTTATTATGCTGGTACCTATATTTTTGTCAGGACATGGTTTAGGTATCTTTATATATTTATACATATGTATAAGCACACATATGTATAAATATAACCACAAGTAGAGTGCTTATGTATACTGAATGGCATTGCTAACTGAATACCTCCTGGCTCTCATGTACATTTTACATTTTTTGCAAAATAATGTAATTGTTGTCTAAGTCTGTTGACTATCAGGATACACAAACACGCCCTGACTATTTTGGAAGGGTGAGAAAATGCCATTGAGACCAATAAAATTGTAGATCGTTCCAGTTAATAAGGCATGCTCGAAATCGAATGTTTGGATAGTCTCCCAGCCTCTCTGTTGTATGTGCTTGGAATATATGGAATACAGTATATGTTTATGTACTAAAGAAGAGTAAGAAAAAGATGCATGTAGTGCTTCTTTGATTTTAAGGCTGTTTACTTGTGTGACTTCTGTTATTAGTACCACGGCCTCATGCCTAGATTTCCCTTCTCTTTGGTGATTTAGGAAAGAGACCCAAAGCAAACAGACCTTTCCTAGTAAGGTGATGTCGTTATCTCCTACCTTAGGAAGGAAGAAGCCTGTGCCATCAAGGTTCCTGCCTCAGCAAGATGAAGACAGAGTGCCTAGGAGCAGAGAGATAAATCCTAGGGTCCAGAGCAGGAGACCCTGAAGAGGCTGCTGTACCGGGGCATTTGTAAAGGCAAAGGGATGATGAGTATGACCTAATCCCATGAGCTATAGTTGGAATGTGGATTTTTCTCAGAGAGCCATGGAAAAGTAACTTGACAGCAAAGGACCTAAGCTAACTTAGTACCGTACTCATATTTAATAGAGTAACCAAGCCACCAGCGTGACGCCTACATCAGGGGCCAAAGGGATTTGTGCTCAGGTCCTTTTTCCTACTCCTTTCTTCCAATGAAGACTAAGAGGCGACCGAAGCATCTCCATGATCTTTGCCAGAGAGTTGGGAATATTGTGCCTTTGCTTTGGGATGATTTCATCCTGATGGGCCACTTCAACAGGATGTACAAAGCGTGACTTGGGTGATGAGCTTTTCGACAGGACTGACTTGATGCACAGAGTTTGCACATGAATCATAAAGGGATGGCTGGAAATTGAAGGTGCTTGCCCCTGCACTTGGAAGACTAATTTTGCAGAAGCAATCTTGAAAAGTCAGGTCTGGTGGCTTTTGCTGAAAAATTAACACCTGCTGGTCCACGTGTCTCTCTCTATCCATCATGGCAACACAAAATTATACCGGAGGCGATGCAGCCTGCCTGCTGTGATTGTATCTTTATGCTGTGCTATGCAATTCAAACTCTAAATAAAGTGGAAAGAAAATTGCTCTTCTCTGAACTGGAACACAGCATCAGACATAAAAAGGTAGGACTCAGAATTCCCCCTCAAAAACAAATGAACCTGTTGTTTCTTACGCATGTAATGTCTTAAAATGTAAATTTATTTTCTTTGCCTCTAGGACTGTGAATCTTAAAACAGTGTGGAACAATATGAGGAGTTGATTCCTGAGGCTGCCTTTAAAGAGAGAGCACTGACGTTTTAATTTCATAGCAGAAAGGTACGAAGGCTGAAAGGGTATTTTTAAAAATGTCCTGCCAGTTAGGGGGATGGAAAATTAAATTAGAAATAAAAGTACCTAATGTGTTACGCTTCAGTAGATCTGAAGGGCTAGTTAAGTGGACACTGGACAAGCTGAATCAATAGCCTATTTTAGTGGGAATACGTGAATGCTGCAAAGTGATTGTGACCCTGGTCTGCTGAGATTATTCATACGGGATTTTCTGAGGACTTTCCCACTGGCCTGTTCCAGTTAGAATATTCTGGTTTAGGCTGAAATCCAGCAGGGCTGGCTGAGAAAACATGACTGCGATAGTCAGTTCTAGCTACTTGCCACAGAGCGGCTGATGTTTCTTAATGAGGTTCCTAAGGATGATGGGATCCCTCCCAAGGGCGAAGAGACTATAGCACAAGCCTTAGGGGGTCTGCCTGGTGGTGAGTAATTAATGGACACCTGATGTCTGTTTTGTGAGCTCTGCAAGGACAAGAGCTGATGTCATCACGAAAACCCATGATATGATATTGCCTCAGGAGAAAATATGACTTGGAACAACACCACTATGGATGGGGCAGGTTTGCTTGTGAAAAGGGATTCCTGCTTCCGAATCCTCACCGGCTGCTTTCTCTCTTTGCTCATTCTCTCCACGCTCCTAGGGAACACCCTGGTTTGTGCAGCTGTAATTAGGTTTCGCCATCTGAGGTCTAAGGTGACCAACTTCTTTGTGATCTCTTTGGCAGTCTCAGACCTTTTAGTAGCAGTCTTGGTCATGCCCTGGAAAGCTGTGGCAGAGATAGCTGGCTTCTGGCCTTTTGGATCATTCTGTAACATCTGGGTAGCATTTGATATCATGTGTTCTACAGCCTCTATCTTAAATCTCTGTGTCATTAGCGTGGACAGATACTGGGCCATCTCCAGTCCGTTTAGGTATGAGAGGAAAATGACCCCCAAGGCAGCGTTCATCATGATCAGCGTGGCGTGGACCTTGTCTGTGTTGATCTCCTTCATTCCGGTGCAACTGAACTGGCACAAGGCTAAGACCACAAGCTTTTTAGACTTCAATGCTAGCTTTCAAGGTGTAGCCATGGACAACTGTGACTCCAGTTTAAACAGGATGTATGCTATCTCTTCCTCTCTCATTAGCTTTTACATCCCAGTGGCCATCATGATAGTCACCTACACAAGGATATACAGGATTGCTCAGAAACAAATAAGACGCATTTCAGCCTTGGAAAGAGCAGCAGTGCATGCTAAGAACTGCCAGACTACCACTGGCAATGGAAACAGCATGGATAGTCAGCAGCCAGAAAGTTCCTTCAAAATGTCCTTCAAGAGAGAAACTAAAGTCTTGAAGACGTTGTCAGTCATAATGGGGGTGTTTGTATGCTGCTGGTTACCCTTTTTCATACTGAACTGCATGGTCCCTTTCTGTGAGCCTGGTATACCATCCAGGGGAGTAGAACCTTTTTGTATTAGTTCAACCACTTTTGATGTTTTCGTTTGGTTTGGATGGGCCAATTCTTCACTGAACCCCATCATTTATGCCTTCAATGCAGATTTCCGCAAGGCATTTTCAACCCTCTTGGGATGCTACAGACTCTGTCCTGCTTCCAGTAATGCTATAGAGACAGTTAGTATCAACAACAATGGGGGCGTAGCCTTTTCCAGTCAGCTTGAGCCCAGAGGATCCAGCCCCAAAGATTGTAATTTGGTTTATCTGATCCCTCATGCTGTTATATGCCCAGAAGATGATGACATTATGAAAAAAGAAGAGGAGGGGGAACTTTCTAGAGCTCTGGAGAAAACGTCTCCAGCCTTATCAGGTATCTTGGATTTTGAGGCTGATGTTTCTTTGGAAAAGATTAATCCTATCACGCAAAATGGTCAACATAAAACCTGAGTGGTAAAGCTATCAAATTGTAATAGTATATGAAAGATAAGGTGCTTTACTTGAGAAAGTATGTTATTGTAAGAGTTAAAGCCATCACATAAAAAGCCCGGAGCTCAAATTAACTGCTGTTTGATAAAACCATAAAATTTAAAACAAAGATTTCCAATTTACATAACATTGTATTCCAAAGTTGTTCTGTGTTGTTCATCCCAAATGGAAATGGATCTAACATGTAGATACAGTATAGTTGCAAGGAAAACAACTTCAGCTGGATCAACATATGGTGAAACTGAACTGGTGGAAGCAAATAAAGTTTACTATATGGATAAAATGTATTAAATTAAATATAAGATTTCCATTTGACTTGCATAGTTGTTCGCGAGTGTTTCTAGGTTGCGAGTAATGTTGGGTGAATTGGCAGAGCAGGTGATGCCTTTATAAATGATTTTTGAACATCAACGAAGCCTTATAACAAGAGTGGAATATTTTTAATAGTAGAAAAATAGTGTCAATACCGGCTTTATTTATTTATTATTTAAAATTGCTATTTTTTCACATGTTACAACAAATCTATTTATCTTATTTTAATATATGTTGAAATAGTGGGATATTTCTGGGGTCTCACAACAACTGCATTTTGACCAGTTTACTAGTCAGCACTTTATAAAATGAGTATTTGGAAGGTCAGCTTTGCTGGGATAACTAAAAACGTGTACAAAGGCACAGCAAAACAGAGTGAATTTTTTAAAAAGCACTGTAACAAGAGAGAGATGCACTTCAAAAATACAGGACCAGAGTTGACTAAATGACAACTTGTCGATGTTGTGCCCTTATCAAAGCAAAACTAATTACAGCTATTTGTTTGGAAGTTTCATGTTATGTTGACTTTGCTTGACTGTCAGCATGTGAAACTGTATATAGTTTACCTTTTATATGAATACAACTTTAAAGATTAATTGGTCTGAGAAGAATACCACTTTAGTTCACCACAAAAAAGTATTTGCCATTTTGTACAATAAAACCACCCCATCTATGACTTTTCTTATTTCAAAGCTTGGGGGTTTTTCCCACTGGGGAAAACTCCTGATAGCTAAATACAATCTCCATTTTGTCAGATGCTGAAGACAAAACAATGGGGAGGGCTATTGCCCTAAGCCCTGCTTGGGTCATCTCTGTCTCTGCACTTCCCAGGGACATCTAGCTGGCCACATTGGGGAATAAGATGCTGGGCTGATCCAGTGGGGGTGTTCTTACATTCTTATGAAAATAGTATTTTAAAAATGGGGGGGGGAACCTTATGTCATGTCGCCGCCTGTTTCAGTGAAGCTATACTTTTTCTTTCAAAGCATTTGGTTGCGTGCTACAGTCTCCCATTCAGAATGACACTCATGAGATACTGTGGTACTGAAATTAAGTTTAGTTTTCTGTTTGTTTGCTATCTGTTGCAGAATAAATAGTGCCTCATTCCTACTTTGAATTCAGACAGTGAATGGTGCAGCAAAACCCCATCCACATTAGAGCTTCAAAAAGGATGCTGCAATTTATTTCTCGTATCCAAAAATTGAAACCCAAATTCCTGTCATTTTCCTTGGTAATCTAAAATAAAATGAATGAAGTTGCTAATTCTAGAAACAGTCACCAGCATTTAATATACAAAGAACATTCCAAAAGATCAATTTGGTCAGTGTGTGTGTGGGGGTAATGTTAGCGAATCCCAAAGCTTCAGAGAAACCATGAATAGAATTAATCAAGATGTGTAGTCAGGAAAAAGATGAGAGAGATAACTTAGAAGCCTAATAAAGTTATTCATCCCAAATCAGGTCTGTGTTATTCAAGTCTTGTGAATGTTTTCATAATTTTATTGCCTGTAAGCTGCTTTCATACGTATAATAAAATTATTTTGTGAACATAAGGTCAAATAAAGCAATTTCCATTGCATTTATTAATACATCTTTTTTTGCTTTGCTATATTGTTTTAATAAGAACCATAGTGTTTTCCCATTTTTTAAATTTTTGTTTTGCTTTGGAGTGTCTTGTTGCAACAACTATTATGAATTTTTTCTTAGCTCTTTGCCAATGGAGAACACATCCCACTAAAACATCCATCTGGCTCTCCTTTAAAATTGGTTGCGGAATGATCTGATTGATTTCTTCCCTTGTTGAAACACTCAGGCAGAAAAATAAATTATTTGAGTGAGTATGACCTATAGTGGGCTTTCTGGCTCAAAGTCCCACAGTTGTTGATTTTTCATGATGAACTGTAGGAAGAACAATAAAGGACTGAGGAAACTTTATCTTTGGTAAGTAAAGATGCTTGCATAGATTTATGTTGAGTGAGGAATTGCCACCACCCCTTTTGTGACAGGAACACTGCTTTCTCTTGTGAAGCTGAAGTTTTCCCAAGTTTGTATGAATTCTGTTTTTTTTTTGTATCACAGGGATCATTGTCTATAATTATACTAGCACAATCAAACTTCAGTCTTTCACTGGGTCATATTTTCAACTGATGATTTTGTTCCTCATTCCCTAAATGTACAACTGAATTCTGAATAAATTACCAATGATATATTTTAGCTTTCTCAAAGAAATCTGGTCTCCCATTCATAGCCTTGTATCAGGATTAAAGCAACCTGCACTTCTGATGATGAATTTTCCTCAGAACTATTAGTATTAGAATAGTAATATTTGTGCCTATTGGAAACATATGAAACATTGTTTTGATTTGAGCAAAAAGTTAATAGGCTACAGGTTGAAACCTGTAAAAAATCATGGCGTAAATGTTAATGAGTGTGTAAAAGAGATGATGAGGGATGGATTATAACCAGTCTGTACTTCTCTGTGTTGCTCATTAATATGGTATGGTCCTTCATTTCCCTTTTGGGGGTTGAAAAAGGAAAAAGTGCCTCATGGCCTGCAAATATATTGCGTGCAGCTTTTCTTCGAAATCTAGAGTACATTATACTTAGTTCTTTTGGAGTTCACTGAGTATGCAAAGTAGTTCAGACACACCACTGAGGCTTGACAATTCAAAGTGCAATGGTTTGTATGGACTCCCCCCCTCCCCCGCACTCCTCATGTCTTTTTCAGTTTACATTCCTCTGTATTCTGACCACTTGAGCTACAGGTAAAGGTAAAGATAAAGGTTCCCTTGCTCGAAAGCCAGTCGAATCCGACTCTAGGGTTGCGGTGCTCATCTCCGTTTCAAAGCCGAAGAGCCAGCGCTGTCCGAAGACGTTTCCGTGGTCATGTGGCCGGCATGACTAAACACCAAGGCGCACGGAACGCTGTTACCTTCCCACCGAAGTGGTACCTATTTATCTACTTGCAATTTCTTGCTTTCGAACTGCTAGGTTGGCAGGAGCTGGAACTAGAGACAGGAGCTCACCCTCTCTTGCGGCACCCGGGTCTTGAACCGCTGAACTACTGACCTTCCACAGCCTGCAGTTCAGCGTCTTAACCACTTGAGCCACCGCAGCTCCTAATTTGAGCTACAGGCTATATGCTTAATACCAGAGACCATGGAGTAAAATTTTGTCCCTAGAGTTGTGTAGAAATTTTCTGTACTTTCAATCCCCCTGCCTTGGACTTTATTTCTTCTCAATGGATTTTGTAGCAAATTAGTTGCACTCTTTATTCCAAGAAATGATATTTCCATATATTAGCATTATAATCCCCTTCTGGAAACTTGAAATTCTTCTGGTTTTCTTTAAGTGGGCATGCACTGAACTTGAATGAAGTGTCATCAAAGTAATTGTCCATAGTGGGGAAATTTCGGGCTTCTCTGATCTGTGTGGACACATTTCATTCAAGATTTCTTCCCTCTCCACACACCTCGACCTAGCATATAATTTTATTTTAGCCATGAACCCAGTCTCTTTAAGCACTTTAGGTGTCTCAATATTGCATCTACCAGTAGTTTGAAATGGTAACAAAGAAAAAAACAACATTTTCCTACAAGACGTTGGTTCCTTCCACTGGGGGCTCCTGGGTAGAGAGGCTAATTCTAAGCTATATGGGAGGGTTCAGCTGTTGTCTCTGTTTTAAGTAGTGTTTTAATTTATATATTTCCTTTTTACCATAACTAATTCTTTATTTTATAGAGAGAATTTGTTTTTTGGGGGAGAATGGAAGGAAAGCATTCTTCCTTTTACTACTGTGTAAATCAATGGTACATTGCAATCCATGTTGACAGGGTGTGGCAGCAATTACATTCAAATGTGGTGTGTGTGTGGGAGACCATGACCAGAGGTTTTAAGAAATAGACAAGGAAAACATAAGCACAATGGTTGGTCAATGATGCAGTCTGGATTCTTTGTAACTGAGTGAATGAATGGTGGCAGTTCTGGGGAACAGTGCTTATGCAGAGGTCATCTTCTTTAAAATGAGCTGCAGTATGTATACTACTCTGAGTGGTCTGCCCTTATTAAGAAGGTTTTGGATTTCAAAGGAGGAAGGAGAAAATTGCAACTAGACGTGAAACATTTTTTGGTGGGAGTAATAGGAAAAGGTCATCTCGTTACACAGAGGTAAACTCAGGCTTGCCACATAGGTCCCTTGACAAGAAACATTGTAATGGGAATTTACATTGGTAAGAACTCCTTGGCCTTTCTATAACTGCTGGTAACCACTGCATGACTTGGTTGCTTTCACATGTGGTATGGTTAGCACAGGGGTGTCAAACATACGGCCCATGGGCTGGAAGTGGTCCATCTGGGGCTATATTTGCCCATGCGCAGCTGATGAGTACTTGTATTGCCAGATGACAGAGGCTGTACATTATGTTCCTGTATACTGTCCCAGTGTCAATGCATAATGGGCAGTGGAAGTGGGAGGGTGGGCATCAGGGAGATAAGGAAATACTGTAAGAGTGTTAATATTTTAAGTGTGTTTGCATTTTGAGTAAAAAAAAATATTGCTAATTGGGTTTACCTGTGTCCTTTATAAAATTTCTATCTTTGGTACCTGGCATTACACTTTATGACACACATGACCCAGCCTAAGTGACATTT